GCATATACCAGTTCATTGATCTGAGTTGTGGTGGGAGTAGGGGTTGTTATGAGGGCTCTATTGGCATCTTCTGAATAGCATCATTGAATAGCATCACTGAAGCAATGAGCATGAAACTGAGCAAACTCAGGGAGGCAGTGAAGGACAGGAAGGCCTGGCGCAATATGGTTCATGGGGTCACAAAGAGTCGGACACGACTTAACGACTAAACAACAACAACATTTTTAATTGAGATGACAAACTGGACAGATGAAGAATTTTGAGATGATGAGAATACATTTCATAATTCTTCCTATTCTGGAAGCTAATAAAATCTGCAACAATATAAGATCATACTTGAAGCTTCAGTTATGAACATAAAATAAATAGAGATTTGATAGAAAATGCTGTGTATTCTGTATGCTGCTGCCACCAGCTATGATTTTTAATTGAATGAAAGAATAATTCTGTATAGAAAAGCATTCTTACATAATACAGTGTTCTTACATTTCATATATTATTAACATTATTTTTGTCAATATTGCAGGGTGTTTTTGGTTTTCAGCCTTAATAATTGGTCTTTCCCATTCCAGAGTTTTCCCTCTGATGAAGGATGGCCATTTGCAAAATACCTGGGAGCATGTGGAAGAATGGTGGCTGTAAACTATGTGGGAGAAGAACTATGGAGTTACTACAGTGCCCCTTGGGAAAAACGAGTGGACCTGGCATGGCAGTTAATGGAAATAGCAGAACAGCTGACAAACAATGGCTTTGAATTTGCACTCTACCTCCTTGATGTCAGCTTTGACAACTTTGCAGTAGGTCCTAAAGATGGAAAAGTCATAATTGTGGATGCTGAAAATGTTTTGGTGGCAGATAAAAAGTTGATCAAACAAAGTAAGTTGACTTCTTTTTTATCCATGGCTTTTTAACAATTTAAGCTATGGTTTGATTTTTCCTCCCTTGGCTAAAAAATGATTGGTCTTATTTAAGCAATAGATTTTTAAATCATTATCATTATAAACATTTATTTTTGAACAAGTTGAATTTCTCATTATTCAATGAAAGGCTTACTGAACAAACCTAAACTAGGGATTTTTGCTGTTATGAAATATGTGATAAAATGGTTAAATCCTTGGAGGACATTCAAAAGCTATTATAGAATAAATGATTTTGTGAAGATGTCTCAATGTGTATAGCTCTGCTACTATTGCTTCTCAGCTGTTGCTTCTCGGGCAGTAAGACAACAAAGAAATGCCTAGGAAATGGGGTGTCACAAATTGGGGCAAGTTTTAGATTGGTAGATCCCAAACCATTATATACTGTGTGGAACACCCATCTATGTTCTGTCCTGCCTGTGTGACAGAATGGCCCAGGAAGTGGTGATTAGGTAGTGATGATTACTCTGCCATGGGTTCTCCCTTTCCTTAGACTTCATATAAATTATAGTACTCAGTTTAGGAAAGTTATTTCTTACAGTTGTTCTTCTTGTAGATTTAATCAGTTTCAAAATATGTTTACCTTTCCTTTTCTCTAAACTGATATGAATGTCCCAAACATCCTTAAAATTATGTTTGCACCTTTTTCTCAAACTGATAGTAAACATGCTAAAGCAGCTTTAAATCTCATCTGTAATTATGTGTTTTAAATAGGTCCCATGATAATATGCATCCAAAGTGCTTTTTGATCCTCTGTTCTTTCACTGTTATTTACTGTTGTGTTTTCTATGCATTTCACAGATAAACCTGAAAACTGGGATGTATGGTATGAAAGCAAATTTGATGACTGTGATAAGGAAGCTTGTCTTTCTTTCTCAAAGGAGATTTTGTGCACTCGGGTCACTGTGGATCATAATTACTATGCTATTTGTCAGAACCTTTTATCAAGACATGCCACCTGGCATGGCACTTCTGGAGGACTTCTTCATGATCCTCCAGCTGATATTGCCAAAGATGGTCGACTTGAGGCCTTGCTGGATGAGTGTGCCAATCCAAAGAAGCGATATGGTAGATTCCAGGCTGCAAAAGAATTACGTGAATATCTTGGACGATTAAGTAATAATGTGAGGTAGTTCATAGTGGGTGGACAAGTCAGAAAATGTATCGTGCTGGGGCAAGGACACATGGACAAATGAGTTCTGAACATGAAACGAGAGCAACCAGAATGAGAGAATAAATTGCATAACTCTATTGCTACATGAAGGTTGACAAAAATCACATATCCTACTACAACTTGAGCTACTTTTGACTCAAATAGGAAGACTGACAATTTAACTGAATTGGTTTTCTCAATAAGATTTCACTGTTTTGTGAGACTGTTACCCTTACTTGGAAAATCAAGTTATATGGGCCTGTTTTAAAGGCTTTCATTTCTGATGTCATTATCCTGCTCTTATACAACTTACAAAAGAGGCATTTGCGTACATGCTGATAACCCAAGGTGTCCTTGATTGTTTTTGAAACTACTCGATTTTCATTCAATGCTGTGTGCTTTTTGAGTACAGGATTCCTCTTCTTATTCTGATGTTGAATTCTTTTTGTTTCACATGTTTGTATGCCTTATTAAAGATATGCTTGTAAAAGCTGTCTTAAATGTTGTGTGAACCTAACCTAGTTACTTTGGAATTGTTTATATTTCTACTGCAGGTAATACTTCACATCCTGGATAAATAGAAAACTTCATCTTTTTAGTGTGTAAAAGTATATGTTCATCAGGGAATTAAGTATACAAAACTATTTCAATGAAGACAAACAGTTGGAACCAGTCATGTTTACGTTGATCCAGCAGAAACAGTCATGTCTACAGAAAGACTCATTGATTTGGATCAACTTTAAACATGACTAAGACTAAAACCAACTCTTTGGTTGGAGACAAGCAGTACTAGATTAATGAAAACAAAAACATTTTGCTACTATAGTAATCATAAGCCAAAGAAAATGGTTATGTGTAAGTCTCTAATTGCTTAAAATAATGTACTGTAGTGGCACTAGCCTACTGACCAACTTTTTAGTCAGCTATTATCATTCTACTACTAGTTAAAAACTTGGGAACAACATAGAAATGAGAAAATGCCTAGCAGGCTAGCATTTGTTCTATATTATTCACAATCCTGCTGATTATGGGAACTAATGTTTACAGGACTTTCAATTTTGAGGCTTGTTATTTAATAGCACCCTTCATGTATATGGTAGAGGGCTTCATTTATTATTTTTTTCTCTGATGGTTACTATATACCTGAAATTGTTCCCACAAATCAGGAGTTGAAGTAGAAATTGGATCATTGCTAAAATTAATTTTTAAAAGGTGTGATTTTCTTTCTTTATTCACAGTAACATTACAGAGGTTCTCTTCACTGGAGTGATGAAGTTCTGTTCCTGACAAAGACTCATAATTACAGCAACAATTAATTGACTACAATTATTTTAAGGTGGAGTAAGGATGAATTGTATACTAAGGATGATGAGTATGTTACTGAAAAATGTATCTGGACAAGTGGAACATAGCAGCAGGAAAGAAATGAAAGCTCCCCAATATATTTCCAAACTGTGAAAAAATGCAGAATATGTCAAAGATATATAAAATAAATGGCAAGGTCCATTGTTCTTCTCTTTGGCTTGCTTAGTCATATACTGTTGCTTCTTTGCAAATTGTGTCTCTACAGTGTTACTTCCATTTAGTTATTGAGCTGTCTCCTGGAAAAATTTCTTGCTGTGGCAATTTCTTTTATCTCTAACATGGCTGAATCAGAGCACATTAGGCATGTTCACATCCTACTGTCATAATCTATAGAGTTTAGTGGGTAATATCCTTGTTATTTTAAAAACTGTAGTCTTGCCTAATTTTCTCTGGTTTCTGTTACAATATATTCTCATAGTATTTATGTTATGACTTTGCTATAGTTCAGACTTGAGCAAAACTGAAGTGTGAGATTAAACACTAGCCTGCCATGAAAGGCCTTGTTTTACCACAATATTAATTTAATACCCACACTTTCTAATGAATGAGATGTATGATTGCTGTAGGCTTTAAACAACAATACTGCCAGTTACTGAGGCAGTTCAATGTTCCCTGGGTGATTAGGGTTGGAATTCATGGTTCATCCTTGAAATACTGTGCTGTTAAGCGGGATTCTGATGATAAAAGGAGTCCATAATTTTCAGTCTACAGGGAAAACACCTATGTGGAAAGCAATAAGTTTTCTTCAATTTGCACCTATCAAGTATTTATTGTACAGGAACAATTTATATTTTTAATCATTGCCCATGAATAATGGTGAAATATTTTTGAATGAGATGTTTGGGGTTTGTATGTGCATAAAAATTTGTCTTTTGTACTGTAACTGTTTAATTTGGTTATCAAAACTGTTTCCTGTGCCTTTATATTAAGGTTGTTTCTACAACTTCTCTTGATTAATAAAAAAGTACTTAATTTTTTTTCTTGGCCTTGCTTAAATGTAATGCACTGGCAGTCCATTTTATTTTAATACTGAAGAGGGTTTTTTACTCCACCATGAATGGCAACAAATATAAGTGCTTTTGAAAGGGGCAGAAGTTATTTGTAGAGACTAGTGTCAGTACTAAAATCCCCATACCTGGGCACAATATTTCTTGAAAAAGTAGTTACTGGAGCAAAGTACTAAAGCATTTTACGTGCTTTGTGGGTGTCTTGGAAGTGCTGATGAGAAATAGACTTTTACCCTGATAGTGCCAGGCAACTTTCAGGATATGGATTGAATTTGGGCCTTATAACATTCATAAAGAAGTTGGGGTTAGAATTGGGTTTTTTCCCCCTTACAGCGGTTGCTTTTATATTATACTATGAATGAGTCAGTAAGGCATAGAGTGCATATACTGCTATCTTCTTTTTTTCAGTAACTAGAGGAAGGTATACTTTCATAGAGTTGGGAAGTTCTTGGATATGAGTGGAAAACAAACTGGCTCAAGAAGCCAGCTATACAGTCCATGGTTTTAAGGCCAGTTTGCATGTTAAACTATCAGTTCCTGGTTGACTTTGGGCCAGTCCCTCTCTCTCTCAGCCCAACTCACCTTGCAGGGTTGTTGTGGGGAAAATAGGAAGGAGTATTAGGTATGTTCGTCGCCTTGAGTTATTTATAAAAATAAGGGTGGGATAAAAATTTTTAAAAATCCAGAATGTGCATAACAAGCTAGGGTTATGGGGGAGTGAAAGTAACTGTTGAAATGAATCTCCTCATGCAAGGAGATGGCAGAGCATAAGTCAGCAATTTATTTCAGCTTACGTATCTTGTGCTAAATAGGAGCTATTGCTACTAAACTAAATACATTGCTGCTGCTTCCAGTGTAGAACAAGTGTTAGCTAAGATTTTATCTGTGTATATTTAGGATCTATACTATATTTTGATAATTTCAGGTGTATACTTTTAATTATGATTTTGCAGTTTCCGATACTGTTTCAGGCCTGTTTGTACAAAGATAACTCTTATAAAACTACCATGGTACTTCTGCCTTCAAAAAAGTAGATCAGTTCCATGATTATTATTATTTTTTTTTACATTTTTGGTATGTTAAACTTTATTAAAAATAAAAATCTTGGCTTCTCCAGATCCGAACTGTTTTTTTATACTGAACCATTTTTCTGGAAGTCAAGTCAATAAATTGCCACACTTTACTTACTGTTTAAGAGTTACTATCACCTTTCTAAAACAGAAAAGCATGTCCATAATGTCTAGGCAGGCTATGATTGCTGTGTTACATGGCCTAACCTTTTACTTACTGTATGTCTCATTCTCTGCACACCCACAAAAATGCATCAAAGCCAAAACCATAATTGCATGTGGGCTGAGCACTGGCACAACAGAAGGAACATTTTAGCATAGTACTGTACAAAGATACTGAAAACAAACTTGATGGAAAAATTACAACATTCCAGAACAATACTTGTCCTTGTGGACCAATAATATACTAAAAAAGAAGGAAGAGATTCCTTGGTTGATATCTGAAAAATTTATCTGAAAAACTTACCAAGAGGGAGAAACTGGTCCCTATTAATTACTGAACAAAAGTCCCAGTAACTTCAGGCTACTTAATCATTGATGAAGCATACTAGGACATGAAATTTAGCAACATCTGGAAAGCTATAAGAGTTTCTTGCCCTTTTAGGAACTATAACAGTAGTCTCTGATCTTCCAAGTTAAGGAATTTATTTTAATCATACCTAGAAAATAGAATTTTATTTATTTTAACCTTAATTGAATTTTTATTAAGGCAAAAAACAGATAGTGATGCTTTAATGCAAGGGTATAAATCTCACAGTTCCTTGTCAATCAAGCTAGCTGGAATTAATGGAGGTTGATCTAAAACATCTGTCAGGCTTTTCCCCAGCATATTGGACTGGAGCCAATTAAATGGGCACACTAGAATCTTTGATAAGTAAAATTTATTGTAGGAAATCTAGGAATCCATTAAGAGAGAATCCAAATGATTGCTGTAAAGCAAATGTGACTCTTACATATAATGAGGCCTATGTTCAGCTTCTTGAGCCTATTATGAGCCACGTAGTGGGATGGACAAGCCTAGTTTCCTCTACCGCTTATTTTGGTAATGGGCAGATCTAATTGTTCTCTGATTGTGGAAGAACTGTTAAAATATTTGGTGGACATCAAGTTGCCTAGTCTTTCCCTGATGCAATACACTTAAGTTTTGGGACACTGTTTTATTGTTGGATATGAAAGTCAATGAACTATATCCTAACACGGGTTGTTTTGGGAACAAATGTTATATTAATATTTTTGAGGAATGTCCAAAGTTTGTCCATCACAAAAAGCAGACAGTGGCATTTATGGAGGTATAGTGTTTATACTATTTTCTACTGAAGATTGACCTAATAGTGCTATTAACTAAAAGTTTTCTGAGAGTAGGGATTTTTGCTAGGGTATAGTGCAGAGATGAAGTGGCTAAGTCTCTGTCCTATTGCTGATTTATTATCTGTCTGAGTTGGCAAAAACATGCATGAAATTTTGGGTTCCCATGATCAATCCCTATTCTGACTCTTGCTTCTGTTCTGCCTTACAGCCAAATTGTTTTGTCTTGATTTTGTGTGCATAACATGTGATAAAGAAAAGATTTGGTTGATTCTATCAGATTTATTTTCATCCTCCTTCAGCTTGTCACCACCCAGTGGAAAAAATATCTGCCAGTCACATTACTACAGCAGGAATCGAGTGGGTCTGGCTGCAGGACTCTCTAAGCTCCTTTCCATGCCCCTCCTCCTACACCCAATTGTACTGTAACCCAAGTTGGCTTTAAAAAAAAAATGGAATCATAAACAGAGCTGAGTCACAAGGAGCATTTTCACTTAGGATTTCTCCTTGCTTTCCTTTTTATGTAGACATCAAAGGCTGATTTCCAAATTCCTCCATATAATTTGTTCTGAAGGTAATGGGCCTGTTACAACATTTCACTGTTGTGCTATTTCAGTATTAGATCATTTCACTGTTACATGATTTCAAGCCCCAGAAAATAGTTTTCTTTACATTTCATTTTCCAACTGTGACCAGCTCTTTTGGGAGACAACAACAGAATAGCAACAGAGGAATGCTAGCATTATCTTGAAATGGCCAATAAGGGCCTTTCTAAGTCTCATCTGACTTCAGCTCTGATGTACTGGGTAGTGAAATGTAGCAGACTTTACACACCTGGCAGCTGTCTTTGGATGCTGTTGGTTTAAGGAGAAATAATACTATTTCAGTGCCAATACAGGTAGTCCTTGACTTATCACCATTTGTTTAGCAAGCATTTGAAGTTAAAACAGCGTTGAAAAAAAGGACTTACAATCGGTCCTCGCACTCATGACTGTTGCAGTATCCCTGCGGTCACGTGATTGTGATTTGGGCGCTTGGCAATCATGCATTTACAATGGTTGGAGTGTCCTGCAGTCATGTGATTGCCATCTGTGACCTTCCCAGCTGGTTTTTGACAAGCAAAATCAACGGGGAAGCCAGCAGGGAAGATCACAAGTCGCAGTCAATGATGTCTTGCTTAATGACCATGGCAAAAAATCAGGTGAGGTCACATGATGCCTCACTTAATGACTGTACCACGTAACAATGAATTTTCCAGTCCCATTAGTAGTTGTAAGATCACTACCTGTATTATTCAGGATTACTTAACTTTATTTCACTTATGGGTTGGAAATGGGATCAATTCAACAATATGGAGACATGGCAGAAAATATACAGTACTGTGCAAGAGTTTTAGGCAGGTGTGAAAAAATGCTGTAAAGTAAAAATACTTTCAAAAATATATATTGTAATTGTTTATGTTTATCAATTTACAAAATGCAAAGTGAACAAACAGAAGAAAAATCTAAATATTTCGTGTGACTGCCCTTTGGCTTCAAACAGTATCAATTTGTACACTTGCACAAAGTCAGGGATCTTGTAGGATTAGAGTCAGGTGTATGATCAATTATACCAAGCAGGTGGTAATGATCAATTACATATGTAGGTTGAAATACAGTCATTAACTGAAACAGAAACAGCTGTGTAGGTCACTTAAAACTGGGCAAGGAACAGCCAAACTGCTACTAAGGTGAGGTTGTGGAAGACAGTTTCATGTCACAGGTCATACACCATGGCAAG